TGTTTAATGCAAAAATATATGCATGAAAAATCTTTGTCACAGCTCGTAACCTTGCTCGATACATTCACGAAGTTCCATATTTTTAATATGTATCGTGATTTCCTGCTTAAAACGTTCAGGATAACACAATTTAACAAAAATCTTTCGTCAACTTCTGAAAATGATCAAACACAAACTTGGTATCACAGCTGTAATTTGATTGGCTGCCTTAGGTCACGTGCTCAAATTTGACCAATCATGAACCTTGTATCAGATTTCGGCAAGAAAGCGTCATTAGAAACCAATTTTAATCCAATGAAATCGCTTGTTATAACTACGAAAAACTCCAGGCGATGTTACAAGCGTGTAGATGAAAGAATAAGCTTTCTAGCGATGGGTCACATGCCAGTCTGCGACGAATGTTTTAATCATACGAAACCTCGAAAACGGGGGTATTTCTTCATGTTTTGTGATTGTGGGTTCGAATCCCAGTTCGCCCCAATTATGTTTCTAGGTTTGTCAGCACCATACCCGTGCTCGTGGGTTTCACCAAAGTGGTAAACGTCTGAGACCTGCATCACTTCGGGCTTTCCTCCCACATAAAGCTGACACGCCGCGATATAACTGGAATACTGTTAAAAGCGGTGTTTAACCCAACTCACTCACTCTTCATGTTACTGAGCGGACAGCTGCTGTTATCGGGAAATGGGAGATGAGCAGATACTATTTATAATTCTTTTTAAAATGATATTCCAATTACGTAAACAATGAAAATAAAACAGAAATAGGTTAGTTGATTTTATGGAATCTTATATTTGCCGAAAATCGTCAAGTTTTCGCTTCCTTGGTCCTTAATCTGGACGTTAACAACGTGTTAGCTTACATTTTTTTCATTTACAACGAACTTAATTCAGTTGTAAATTCATTATTTTAAACAATGTGAAAAACATAACTTTCATATTTATAAACACTAGGATCAGACCTTTCAAATGGTGTATAACATGTAGTAGCAAAGATATTTTACAAGCAGATATTTTCTTTGATAAATGTTGGCTTCATCTATCACACAAGAGTCTCTGGGAATTCGGTGTCCCAGCAGTAAACTCTACTGGTTGACTGGTGTCGAAAGAGTTAAACAATAAATTTACTGAAATGGTTCATAATTTACCATTGCGTTGTTATTTGCATATAAAGAACATAGAATTTGTACGCTGTTAAAATAAAGATATCGGCATGATTGAAAACATCAGGATATTTTTATATAGTAATGTGTAGTTTTCTATTAGGCATAAATATGCAGAATATTTCTTCAATTGGCCCTTGTTTAATGAAGCACACCGACTGTTTGAAATTAGTTCACCCTCTTTACAGCGCCTTATGCTAAAACAATTCAGCAGGCTAATGGTTAAGAATGTCGAGTTTTTAGATATTGCCAATTCAAAACTTGGGTTAATTATCTTGGATCTAAAATAGTAGTAAGTAGGACAGATATTTGATATTTCAGTTCATAGATCTGACAAGAATGTGGACATAACACCGTGTCTTTCCCACATTATTTCCGGGTTTGTAAGATTCTGTTGTCTGACATGTGCCTACTTCATACCAGAGAGCTGGTGGGCTAGTGTCTGTAGTCAGACCATGTGTGTACTTCATGACAAGGACCTGGTGGGCAGGCCTCAGTTGTCAGACATGTGCATGCTTCATGATAAGGACCTGGTGGGTTAGTCTCTGTTGTCAGACATGTGCATACTTAATGACAAAGACCGAGCATGGATCGATGTTTATGATCTCAATCACTGGATTGTCTGGTCCAGATTATTTACAGACCGCCGTCATATAGCTGTAATATTGCAACGACAACTAACAGACAAAACAGACTTGTGAGTACTTCATGACAGAGACCTGGTGAGCTAGTGTCTGTTGTCAGACCATATGTGTACTTCATGACAAGGACCTGGTGGGCAATCCTCTGTTGTCAGACCATGTGTGTACAACATGACAAGAACCTGGTGGGCTAGTCTCTGTTGTCAGACCATGTGTGTAAGTCATGACCGGGACCTGGTGGGCTAATATCTGTTGTCAGACCATGTGGATATGACATGACAAAAACCTGGTGGGCTAGTGTCTGTTGTCAGACATGTGCATACTTCATAAAAAGGACCTGGAGGGCTAGTGTCTCTTGTCAGACATGTGTGTACTTCATAGAAAGGACCTGGTGGGCGAGCATCAGTTGTCAGACTGTGTATGCACTTCATGACAAGGTCCTGGTGGGCTAGTGTCTGTTGTCAGATCATGTGTGTACCTCATGGCAAGGACCTCGTGGGCTAGTCTCTTTTGTCAGACGTGTGTACTTCGGGACAGGGACCTGGTGGGTTAAGCGTCTGTTGTCAGATCATGTGTGTACATCATACCAGTGTACTGACTTTGCATTCTGTTAGGATACATACACTTGACCCATTTACAACCTTAGCCTCTTATCAGAAGTGATGTCACCATCGCCTTCTCTGTTATTTTTAACCCATCACATAGGGTCTCTCACCTATAAGCTTGAGATAATGACCAGTCAAAATGACACTTTCAAAGAAGGGTTTGTTCAAAATTTCTGGCACTGTATGAGTGAGCCCTTCATATGTTTCAAAGAATCAGAAAAAAATTCATCTGGAAGAGAATGTGTTCCTGAATGATAAGACAGGGGAGGGAAGTCATTATACTACCAGGTGTTTTTAGTTGTATTTGACATAGCATGCAACAAGTCAAGTCAACTACTTATCATACTGCCACTTGTTCACTCTCAGAGAACAGTATAATTTGATTTGATGGCTCTTTTCGGCATTGTGTCATTTGCACCCAACTTGAAACGAAGCTATAGTGGCGATTGGGTCCAGGATATATATCACAACAGAATGGATAATACATTGGATTATTGGTGATGGGTTTTGTTATTTATCATATCACTCATTCAGTTTGGAAGGTAATATTGCTATTAGCAGCTTAGAGTACATTCATTCATTCACTCAGATCATTCAATCACCAGTGTATGTAGTAACATTTCTCACATCCCATGTGTCAAATTTTTTAGCAAAGCAAGCTATTTATGGTGAAGTGATTGAAATGTGTTGCAATGTTTTTGCTCAATGAAGGGCTTAACCTTACTGCTGCTTTCACAGGTTGTTTTCATATTGTGAAGGTAAGCATCCAGTGGTTGATGTTACATGATGTTAGTTTGGGCAATTTATCTACTGTATATTGTCAGATCAGACACTGATCAATTAAACCAACTCTTTCAGATTTCTTCTTCTTGCGCAATGTAGTGAGTGAATGGGAAATCCATATTTTTGATTGGGTACATGTCAGTGTGAGAAGTGCTTCTGCGTTCCTTGCTTAGAGCCCTGTATTCTAGATAAACAACAGTGCTATACCTTCACTTATAGACAGGGACTGACAATTTGTTGTCTTAGCTCAGCTGGAACAGGAAAATTCATATGACCTTGGTTTTTTTTCTGTCTTGTTTGTAAACTATGTTTTGTTTTCCAAAATACCACTTTGCTCATCTGGTCCCAATTAGAAGCAAGCAACCTACTTGGCCTTGCAAATTGCCATAGTTTTGACTTTGACATCATGCCAAGTAATGACAAGAACATGGACAAGTTTGCAATACTATTACAATAGGTTTGAGTGCCTTTCAGTGCTCCAGATAAGCTGCATTCTTGTATAAAATATGTAAAATAAGTCACTATTACACATTGATTTGAGCTGCTTGTGTACAAATATGCATGAATAAATAGTCACTTAGTTCTCAAAACATAATCTAGAGCCCTGATAAAATGATTGATTGATCACCAGTTGAGCACAGTGAGTATGTATTGCTTTGTTTTGAGTCAGCAGGCTTGCTGAGGTTCTAAACTATGTATAGAAAATCTCCTCAGAGTGAAGTAGAGGCAACTTCTTGAGGCAAGGGAGTTAGCTGACTGTCAAATTCCAGTTTCCACCCTTGCCGATCTAAGCTGAAATGTCTGGGCTTGATCGGAGCGCCTCCAATGGCTATTACAAGTTATGTCCCTTCTATGTCCCACCTATTGACCAATTAGATTCCACCTCTCATATCACTTTCATTTGCTTCAAATTAAATGGTGTCGCTCAGTGAAGACAATCTGATCAAGAATGAAGACCTATGTCGTAATGAAACAGGTCTCACTTTGCGGAGTGCACCAAATCACGTGGACACCTTGATTAAAAACATGACAAGATTTGGAAAATATCTGTTGACGCTATCTGTACACATGTTTTGCAAATCATGCAATCACCCAAAATCTGTACGGCAGTTTACTAACTGGATGTCGAAGTCGTTTTGCGATTTTGATTGGACTATTCATAGACTCGTTAGTCAAGCCAAAATATAACTCCATAATTCAAGCCCAGTTCGGCAAGGGTGGAGACTGGACTTTTATAGTCCGTTAACTCCCTTGCCTCGGTGCAGATTGTCATAAAAATGTAAGTCCTGGTTTAACTATGGTTGTTTAGCATATTGATGACATGGAGCTAATTTAATTTCTTTGTTCTATATTGAATATAGCTTTCTTTCAGATCCTGTTAGCATCTCTTTATTCTGCAGATTATGTTACTGGATCATGTTTCCTGCTTCGGATCTGTTTAGAAACAATGCAGGGTTATCAATGAAACAGTTAGTAAGCATGTGATAACTTAAATGAAATTTAAGTCATTAGAAGTATGGTCCTCTTGGCTTTCAAGTTCGATAGTTGTTCTCACAGCAGTTACATTCAAAATATCCATGTCTGATGTTGAAGCTAAAGGGAAGAGCCTATTAAATGATGGAGCCTCTCCTGTTACAGTAACAGCATGGCTACACTCAATTTTCCTCTCAATCTGACTTTGCTTTGTTTCTCCATATGGGTTTCCCAGGATGTTTGTCATGCTATATTGTTCAATACTGTGTAAGATGTTGTTTGTATCTTTTATTTGTCTATAATGGTAAAGATAGTCAAAAGCTGTGTTTTTTTCAGTGTTGTCAGCATAAATTCAATGTCTAAAGGGAGGTAAGTTTAACTGATAATGTGAAGTGCATTCTGTGTGCTACTCACTTCATCTTTGCTTCATTAATTTCACAGACATGCTAGATGTATGCTTTATTTGCTTATCAGAACATAGTTTATTGTTTACTGGTAATTAATTTCACAGACATGCTAGATGTATGCTTTATTTGCTTATCAGAACATAGTTTATTGTTTACCGGTAATCGAATTGGTAAAACACCTGTTGAGTTTAAGGATTTGTGTCAGAACAAAATACACATATTTCATCAAAGACATATATACATGATATACGTCTTTGTCTTTGATTTCATGTATTAGCATTATGTCCTATTATTAAATACTGTCTTCTGTGACACAGTGACTATTTGACTAAGTTCAAGGAGAGGTTTGTCATAAAGGAATCCATAAGGTATAATAGCATATATCTATTATTTCTGTGGAATGACATTTCTTGTAAATCATCAATGTGGAGGCATGGTGTATATCATGCTTGCTTGTTGGTACATTTCTGGATGTGTTGAAGTACAACTGGGAGTATATGAAACATTGATGCATTGATATATGCGGTACGGTAATTCACATATTTTGTTAATTATAGATTGCATGAACTGTTTATTCGTGTCACGTAGATAGCTTCTCATCTCCTTAGTATTGTATTGGAAGTCAGTTTGTTGGATCTATCCAGCATGTTTTGTTTATACAGTTACTGGAACACATAGATTTTGCCAGTTTCTAACGTCAGTGATTTTAGGAGATAATAGAATAAAACAGAATTAATGAATGAGTGGGTAAATATTGCTTTGTGTTGAGTCAGTAAGTTTACTCTGAGGTTCTGGACGTAAATGTGACCTAAATATTGGAGCCCACAGTACATTGCATTATGTTGGAATGTATTGTATTAGTTCTGACTTCACATTCACCACTGGCATCAAAGATTTCAAGTATCAATTAGTGATAGTATGCTATCTTTGCTTTAGTGACTACTCAATTTCTGAACTCAGAAATGTTTTGCACTAATAATTGTGCACAGCTGATTTTATGACTATACATCAAATATATACTCTTTCTTCTCAACTTAAATATGCATATTGACACAATCCTAGTGACTTCTAGACTTCTTATGAACAATTAACCTTCTGACGTTCTGTTCATCTATTCCGTGTAACCTCCATGTTGTCACATAGCATATGAGTGTTTGTGCATGTATTCTGTCTGTTTTATGTGCTATTAATGTCTTTGCATGTTGGATTTCACAGTCATGGTTTTCACACACAGAGCTAGGTTTTTGCTTTTATTGCATTGTCAACATAACCCTCAGCACCATACTATTGATGGAACTGGTCAAAGCAATTGTGTCATCAAAATTGTTCACAGGATTAGAAACAAAAATGTATGCTCTGTTATTATTAATGTTTCTCGGGCACATTTATCTCAAAAGTGAGAAGGGATGTAGCATTTCTATAAAAAAGAAGAAGTTTTTATTGAAAACAAAAGTGATCAACACTTTTTACTTTTTTAACACCAAGAATACCAACAGCACACTTTGAACCTGGCTCTTTAATATATTGTCAGTTGTCAAGCATGTTATTTTATGGATAACAATAAACTTCAATATGAAGTGGGTAATTCTAAAAAAACATATTTTTTGTATTGGTATTATAAATGAATGCTCAGAATAGATAGTGATGCGCTGACGTCCGAGAAACATGTCCTGTCTTTTTTAGTGTAACCAAGCCTGCCATGTGCTTGTAAATCATCCAACAGCATCAGCATCATCCTTTTATTTTTAACATATATCTTCTCTTGAAGTGCTTGATAGATTCATGTGAAATTACAAAATATTGACAGTTATTGGACACCTGGTAGAAGTGCTTGATAGATTCATGTGAAATTACAAAATATTGACAGTTGTTGGACACCAGGTAGCCATCTTCTCTTAAAAAAGACCCATCTTGACAGAACTGTTGAACTGAATATTTAATGTTTCATGTAAGCATTGGCTGCAAAAAAGCAAAAAAACACTTTGTACACATGAGGAGTAGCTAATTATTTTTCAACAATCCCCTCAGAGGTCCACACACTTCTGTCAGTGATGCTGGACTGCCTGGATCCAACTGGTGCAGAAGGCGTCCTCCTGATGGTGTAAAAGACTTTGTCTTCTTCTTTGGAAAGTTTCAGGAGCATTTAGATGTTTCCATTGCTTTTACTGTTGTTCAGGCCCTGACTAATAGTGGTGAACCCAAGACTCATCCATGGTTACAAGACGCTGTGCCTGCTTGACTTTAAAACATTGTAACTTCTCACGAGAGATGAAGAACCTTGGAACCCAGCAGGCTAAATAGAAGTTATCACCCGGGTGTATTTTGGGATGGTAAATATCCTGTATTAGGAATAAACATTGTATTTAGCGAGCCTTGGCGAGCTTGGTTCATAGTGTTTATTCCTAATACAGGATATTTACCATTCCCAAACACACAAACGTGATAACCTCTTTATCATATAATGTCATTCTTCAATTCTGTGCTCAAAAATCGCTTCCCATCTCTCACAAACATTATCTACTTGCAATTTTTCCTTGAATGTGCGCATCAATATATGTGTAACCGATTTTAGTGTGGAGGCAACATTAAAAGTCCAAGACACTGGTTACGGGGTGAGAACGTTTTATTCCCGGTCAATTAAACACACCCTGAAACAATATATCATTCAATATATACAGCGTCATACAATATACCGCGTCATACAATATACCTGAGGCTTAAAAACAGTCCGTTATTAGGTGAAACATAAATGACAGATCGTATGACAATACAACAAGGGGAGATAACTCCTTGATTAACTCATACATGTGTATCTTCAAAATATCTTCAAATTAAATATGACACAGACGTCTTAATGCAATACGCATATCAAATAGAATAGATGTGATACTCAGTATCACATAAACATACGGGATGCAAAATAGCATAGTTCCTACCCGGTGTATGGCACTAGGGTGCACACGACGTTCACCAAGCTCCGCCAAGCCAGATATACCAAGCGTACCTAAAATCCGTGTAAACAATATGCAACATTAATTCTACAGTAACTACAAATGAACATAGCTATTATCATTACCAACATCTGGAACACATCAAAACAACTTAGGCTAAAATCACATTCGTACTTACATTCACATATACACTATTCTTCCTCTCCTATATGAAATCAGTCAATCAAACACTCAAACATGCAACAATTCACTCATAGGGAAAATATAATTACCTGAATGAATTATATGAGTTATTTGTATTGATTCTATACTCTGAAATGCACTAAAACCGGACTGAAGTGTTATTTACATTTAGGTTAGATTTACCATTATTAAGGTTGAATTTACTTGTTTTATTTATATCCACACAATACAAATATAACATATCAAGTGTACACACTCATAAACCAATGTAAGAGATTAAACTAACCTGTGAGGTATTTGCATTTGTTTATGACTCAATGGTATTACAATCCTGATGGTGCAAAGAGTGACTGTGAAGTGCAGCTTTGAATTAGGAAAGAGGGCAAGAGTTTGAATGATCCAATGGGTGTTCATTAAATCAGGCCACGTAATAATGTGGTAGCCCTACCTATCTACCTTGAATCATATTAGAATGAAACTAACTATAGAGCTAATAATAGACTCAACCTTCTGTGTCCTTATAATTATAGCCTGTATCAAAAATGACTAAACCTGTTGATAGAAAAAAATACATTCATTAGTTAAAATCGGAAATAATACACCTGCAATTCATAATGCAATTGTCATTATACAAATATCAATGCAACACTTAAATGACTTAAAGCTAATAATTACATAACTATATAATACAATAATATGTATCTGCCACATATGTAACATCAGTAGGTAAGTGATGTGTCTGTCAGAGAGTGACAACAGTCAATATAGTTCTAACTGAAACCTGTTTCTTAGACTGTGGCATAACTACATATATGTAGCAGGGCGTGGAGTCATCCCACAGATGACATCCTTACCTTGTCAGCTTGCTGACGGGGTTAACCTCTTTGGTCATGTGGACAAGGCGTCCGACCTCTTATCAGAAGGTCCGTGGTTCGAATCCCATCACGGGACTCGGAAATTTTATGGCCGCTACATTGGCGCCCAACGTGGGGCTGAGCACGTTCATATTAAATTTGAGCAAAATAAGCCTCAGTACCCTACTATGCGGCCCGGGACGTGCCTTCTGTTGACGGGGGAGTATGTAGCAGGGCGTGGAGTCATCCCACAGATGACATCCTTACCTTGTCAGCTTGCTGACGGGGTTAACCTCTTTGGTCATGTGGACAAGGCGTCCGACCTCTTATCAGAAGGTCCGTGGTTCGAATCCCATCACGGGACTCGGAAATTTTATGGCCGCTACATATAGTCAAAACAACAATTGCCTACACAAATTGTCTCTACTTACCTTTTGTGGCAATCCACTGGTCTGTCCGCCAGAGTAAATGCCCTTTTATCAAAGGAAAGCTACTCTAACCCTAGTCTATGAGACGCCATGTTTGTTTAGAGTCTGCCTGTCCTGTCATAAGGTTGTTATGTACACACAGCGACAAAACAAAAGTAGGTAATAATTCGGACATATTTCAGCCAAATCCAACTGTTTTGATTATTGGAAAGGTTCCAAGCTACAGAGGTCTACAAGCGCATATATGGAAACTCATCCCGCTTGGCTAGTAGTGTCCCCGCTAAATTGTTTCAACCATTTTCTTTAGTGGTGGAAGTTGAAGGCATTCCTGCTCTCGGATTGTCTTCGAGATTCTCTCCTTTCCTCTTGAACTCTCCTGCCGACCTCTTAGCAGTGGCAAAGGAAGGAACATCACCCCCTGAGGTTGACACCATGCCCCCATGGATGGCTGTTAGCCAATTTTGTCATGGTAGCCAATTTTATCCATTTCATCAACAGAATAGCTTGTCACTTTGCCTTCAGAAATGTGCTGCCTCATTGTCTATTTGGTTCAAATGAATCCTGTAAACATGGAATGAATTGTACTTAATGCCTTCAAAGTGTTAAGAGTGTATTACACATCCCATAGTTAGGCTCAGGACAATTATTTAGCCATCTGTCTTAAAAGCTTAAAGGAAAGTCAATATGGCAAATTCATTTTGTCTTCATTTCTTCAATCTTGGCAAATATCAGAAATCACTCTCTATCAAATATGGATTTATGTCCAGATTCTGCAGACCAGAAGCAGAGTCTGTTCCTTAGTATTACTTTGATGACATTGCAACACATTCACTACCTGTAATTGCTGAAACACTAATTGACAATCGTTTTTATTAGAAGTTGAGGTTTTCAGAGGTTAACTGAAATTTCACTGTTATTTTTATTCTGCAAACATTTCAGGATGCTAGTAAATAATAATCTCAAATTATTTTTGTCCCAGGAATATGAAATGGTTTAGTAAAACAGCTCCTTTTCCTTGTAGCTTATAAATGGAACTTTCACTTTTTGAAAGTTTAGATTTCCTTAAACATTACTGTTTGGTTTGAATTGAAAACCTTAATTCCCTATTCGTATTCGTCTAGCCAGTTTCATTCAACAGTTTATGCTCAGCGACTAATTTGGAATGGGTTCTGTGATTTGGTTGATTGTGCGTTACTAAACCTCAAAACATGAGACATTGCTCATAATATCAACCACTGGTTTGTCTAGCCCAGAATCGATGATATACATACAGGCCATCATGTGATATACCGTAGATGGAGTTTTGCTATTGTGGAATAAATCAACAAACAAACCCCCTCTCGACTTTATTGTAGCAGTCAAGGTGACCACTATTTGTCATTGCTCCCTGCCTACAAGAAGACTTTGACTGCTCAGTTATGACAGTTAGAGCCTAACATCTCACAGCACGACACAAACAGCGTAAACTGCTTGAGTGTAATTGATTTGTACCCTAATTGCATGATTCCGTGACATTTTTATGGAAATTACCACCTGGAGTTCACGTCAGAGAATTGCTGTACCATCTGCAGCAAATGATGATAAAAGTAAAATAGATAGTTTAGACCAAAATTTATTTAAACTTTGGCCTTATGTCCTGAATCTACAAAAGCTGTAGTAAGCTGTTTTGTTGTATTTAATCAATCTGCTGTTACACACTTTCGTTATTTGTTATAACATTTTATTATTTATTGCCCAATATTGTATTTCCACATGGATATTCATTGTCTTGAATGATCATTTTCAACATATTGATGTTCATACTTTGTTAATTATGTGTATGTATGAATGTTTGTTGATCAAATATGGAAAGTGCTGACTTCTTGTGTCCTGCTCAGGAGAGTATCTCAAATTGAAGATGCCAGGCGAATGTCACGAGCTACGATTAATGGCGATAAGACTACAATCCTCCCTCCAATAAGGTAACATGTAGCAGTAGATATTCCCGTTATATCCACACCCTTGTAGATAGTCTTTCTGACTGCACCACAGATTGCCTGCTACACAACGTTTGATAACACTTACCTATAACAGTTACATAGTGTTTGTGCACTTCTTACAACCTAGCGACTATAGTAGAGATTATGCATGGGTAGATCACAGCTTCAAATTCACCTTCAGCTTTTATCCATTAGAAAGCAGTTAACTTGTTAAGTGGTGTTGTAGGTATGTGCACAGTATTTAGTAAGCTATAACTATAAGACCAGCCTCCTTAGCCCTAAGACTGCCTGCTTGAGATGGTTGTAACATGTCTGTACAGTAATGAGTATTTAGCTGCATGGTGTGTAGAAAACATGTCATGCTACTGCAATAGTACCTGCACAAAGACTTAAACAATGATTTTTGAATTTTGGAAAACGTACATTGCTCATTCAATGTTTATAGTTCGATTTTTATGATGCCTGTCACCTTGATGTTGTAGTGTGTTTGCAACTGAATGCAACATGTTCTGCTTTTTGTGGTGCCAACATAATTGAGCAATTTAAGCTAATGAGATGACGTGTAAGCTATGGTATAGTCTTTTGTAGTTGCATGCCCAAAGTACATATGTATTTCTATGTCGTATGTGCTGTTGAAAGATAATAAACAACTTCCTTCAGTCCTCCCTGTCAACATAACAATGATGTATCAGGCGAGAAGATTTAGCTGGTGCATCTCTGAGAAGACACTGATTAGTGATAGAAATGGTATGCATTCACCCATTCTGTTTGCCATTTATGAAGTTTGTGGATTGGTTTAGTCTCTTGGTTAAAGGTCAGTCTTGTTATGAAGACCTGATTTAGTAAAGTTCCTCTTTCCTTGGATGAATCCCTACTGGTGAGTGACAAGTAAATGTCAGCTGATTTCCTGCTCATACTGTATGCATACCAGTGTGTTGTACAATCTAGTTAATAAGCTGTCATCTTCATCGATGTATGGACCACCTTGTTTACCACCATAAGTTGGGATTAGTTAGCATAACTAATGTAATTTATGTGTTGGATGGTTTATTTTCAATATTTATGGTTTGAAAGGTCAGAAACCTGTGAATCAAAGGCACCAGTTAGATATGTGTCATGCATCTTAAAACATATCTCAACACTAAAGAATTCTTATTAATCTTAATTGAAAAGAAGGTATTATTGAAACAAAAAGGCTCTCGTGTCAAGTGGATACAGGATCCCTGCTGGGTATGTTACTTTTTTCAGAATAGCGGCAGAAATATCCATTTTTGCCCTGTATTCCTACAGAATAATTTGGCATATTAAAGGACAAGGTAGAATAGGGGGTACTTTCTTGCCAACACGATCATATAAATGAGAACTCTATATTTACTATAATAAGTGCCCTGAGCGCTTAGAAAATTGACAACGGGGACACCTATTGAAATCATACACAAGTTAGTTTTAAAAAATCAAGCGGTAGTGAACAAACTTAGTGCAAACTAAAACGCTTTCTATAATAGTTACAGGACAATAAGATACCTAATTTTTGGTGCTGTTTTCTATGAAAAAGGTCAGTAATATTGGATATACACAAGACAGTATGGACAGTTTCATGCAGGGTGTCTAATACAGTGAATACAGTATACTTAGTTCATTTCAACAATTACATGTTTGGGACTTGTGACAACAAGTGCATTGATAAGGGTAAAATGGGTTACCGTATTTGATGTAATAAGCGCCCGGGCGCTCTCAAAATAAGAAATAGGGGGTTCTTATTCAAATATAATTTTGGTGGAAAAAAAAGAGTCGAAAGATCGTAAATTTCATGGTTTATGCTAACAGCCTGAAATGAACCAAAAGAAAAGTCTGTGCGTATTATACACGACAGATTCATTTTCCAAAAATTAATTGCCCATAATTAAGGGTGCATATAACACACGAGTGCGCATTATACACGAATAAATAAGTCTTGTGTACATTGATCAATCGGAAGGGGTGTTAATTGGGATTGTTCACTTCTAATATATCAGCAAATATCGCCATGGGCGCTTATTAGAGCGGGGCGCTTATTACGTCGAATACGGTATATGTAAGCAAGTCCTTGACCCAAGGACATGTATACTGTTGGTATATAAAAACATGACAAACACATGGTTAACACTAGCTTGGGCCAAAGACTTAGATTTTCATTTAAGTTCTTAAAATCTGCCTTTTTCACATATTTTAGCAGATACTTTTCATTTGACATATTCAGTGGGCCAAAAAGAGCCCTTATCCTACCACCTCCTTTAACATACAGTGGGGAAGGTTCCTGCTCTATGAAATAAGAAGTTTGCACTGACTGTTAATACCCCTCACTGATTACTTTCAGCATATAATATATCTTTGTTTTTAATTATATGGATGTATTTAGCTATATCTGTGTGGCTGAAACAGTTGCATTTTACATAAAACAACAATCAACATTAAAAAACAACTTGGCTTCTAACTTGCTTGACCTGGTGCTGTCTATTCTATTCCATTTTAAATATGAAGAAATGCCCATAACATGTTGGTGATAGGCAGGTACAGGTAGATCTATATAGTTTCTTGATTAGGATGTTATACTCATTCGCAATTGTGAGCTTTGTGAAAAGTGAAAGTGCCTTCTGTTATATGAACAAGCACTGTGGCAATGTGACAACTGTTTCTTGTCCTGCTTCAAGGGGATGTGGTGTGTCAGGCTCCCTGAATGATCTGCAGGAGTCCACGAGATGGGAGGCAGCTAATCGTACTAGTGTCCGCCCTGAGTGGCTTTCGGACACAGAGAGGTATACCACAGTAGCCACCTGACAAACACTGCAGTTGTGGGCAAAATGAATCCATGTTTATGTCATTATGGTGACTTACCACTTTGATTGTTTCTTTCTGTGACCAAGTAACAGTGCGTTATATATTTATATGTACAATTTTAGCTGAACAGAAAATTCTTTAAAGGAATATTAATGACTGATAAAAGTGCCAATTACCAATAAAGGCAGGGCAACTTTATATGTGGTTAGTGCTGCAAGTTTAGAAGAACACTGCAGTGTCTGTCAGCTCACGACAAAAGGCAATGATATTCCTTCCTTATAAATTTCAATCACCAGTGACATCAGCAAGAGCTGATTTTCATGCATCTCTATCATTAGTCAATTTGTTGACCATTGCCTGTTGTCTAAACTCAAGTTGATGTGGTAGTGTACTGACCCAGATGACAGTGAAGTGTCCGAGCAACTAGTCTTGTAAGTGTCTGTGTCTGTCCTTAGTGGTAGATCTGGTAGAAGTAGACCTATGTTCCTTGCTCCTATAGAGCAGTTGTCACAGGCCTGTGTTGCCTGTTCTTGTGTTGACCATTCTACACATTATAAAGTGTATATCTGCATGGGTAATCAAGTTCTTAATTTGTAAACTTATCACAGTGCATGGATATTGAAAGCGAGAGGCAACAGACAATGACTAAGTATGTGTTCTTGAGTGCAGTCTGAGCTGTTCACAGATTTGTCTCTGGTTGTTATTTAAGTGGTTCGGGCTCTGGCCTTACTTACTCCCTGGATGACCTACAAGATATGTCTCATTGGGAGGCAGCAAGTCGTGCAGGGGTACGGCCGGAGTGGCCTTCTGATACCGAGTCCAGGCATTCCAGGTATACAATGCCTTGCTGTGGTCAGCATGAACAGCTATGTTGTGACACACAGCTCCGCCACCTAGAGACATGGGCTTTCTCTTTAGTTCACATAGTGGAGAATTGGCTACTTCATTTTGTTAGGGATGAGAACTTCTGGTTGTCTCGTCTAAACAACAGCATTCAGGATAGGTGTTTTAAGAGTTGCAAAAAATATTTAGAAATCCTTACCTCTGAAGTTGTATAGACTTCAACCCCTGACATTAAGGTGTTCTCATCCCTAATAGGCATTTCAATTTTTCTACATTTTGGTTCAGTCTTCATATTTCAAATAGCACATGCTATAGTATACTTTGTGAATAATAAATTGTTCCTTGAGTTTAAGTATGCCTCAAGGCAAGGTTTAAAGTCATTTAAATGAAGATAGTTGAATTCATTTGTCTTTAGAGAGTTCTGTTTGATGTGCCCTCTTTGATTGCTGGTGTTTTGTTCCATCTGTGTGTTCTTCCCCACTCACTGTGTGTGCCTAACACTGGACAGGAAAATTCCACTCTCCGTGACAAACAGTCATCTGTTTCAATTAAAACACCAACGTTCAGATGCATAACAGACAGTAATTGTCAAGTTTATTCTTACAAAGGAGGTCATTAAAGATGCCAATCCTCTTTCTGTGATATCTTGACATGGATTGTTACTACATTAATCATGAAAACATAATCAGATTTTGTATTCAGTGGATAAGATGTTTTGAAGAAAAGAATGGGATATTGAGATGTCTTTTAAGTTGATCCTTTTACCCAGGACAAAGACATATGTGCAATGAAATCCTGTTATCGCAAACCCATAGGATCCACACAGCAACTAGGAGATATTGAAATATTAATCATTGCAGTTGACCCAGGCTGGAGATCTGGGTTCAAACTCTACCTGGAAGATTTGTGATGTTAATGGTGTGTGCACTTGTGATTTATGGGACATGGGACTGCACTCAAATATAATAGGTTTTAAAGTAGGTTTTGTGTCATGTAGTCAACACTCTTCATCCATTATTGCTCATTTGTTATTTAAAGTATTGAAATTTGACCCACATGTCAAAGTGATAACTAAACTAAACTTGTTTACATGAAAACTTCAGTATTTGGGGTAGGTGAATGAAGCTTGGTACATGTTGTCCTTTGAGGCCAGGGGGTTTCGAAGAAGCTATATTTTGTCAAGGACATTGTGAAGGTTGTTCATGAAATTAATTGTCTGGTATGTTTGCTTTTCTTCATGGGGATATATACACACATTGTATTTCATAAACAAAGTGTTAATCTTCATACCAGTATCAGGTAATTGTGACTCAACCTTTTGAGACTAGCTAACTTTTAACTTTTATCATATTGTCTGCATGTGGTGGAGAGATATCATGTATTATATGTGTGAGTTAACCACATGTACTATGTGTTAAACTCTATTTATGACTGCATTTCTTTTTGAGTGCACCTAGTACTCTGTAATTTATTTAAGAAAGTACAGTTTGTCATAGGACTGCTTCAGTTTTTGCATGTTGCTCCTACACTCTTTGTGAACTTGCATGAACACAAACTTCCTGTCATGAACATAGGGACGTGGTATTCAGTTCCTGCTCTTTACATCAATCTGTTCATGTAGCTGACAAAAATGATTGCATTATAAAAGAAATTTTGATAGTACATAAATTTATATGAACTCGCTTGTTGCTCCAAACTGAACTTGTTTGGCCAGATTGATTATACAGCTTTCTAGGAATATTTTGGTGCTGGATGTTTATGCATCATGCCACGATGGTGTATGTTACTTTCTTTACTATGATTATCTTGCATGTGGTTCCCACTTCCCTGCTGGGGACTCCATTTCGAGGAAGCCTCAACATATTGTACATATCACCAACATTGTACGTTTTATACACTTGCAGGAACAGGTGCTTTGATGCTTGTAGCATGGGAGACGTCAGAACCAGTATGTCTACAGATGTTGGCCATTCGCTGCTATTGCTCTATACTGGAGCGTTTGACAAATTGTTTCCATTGATTTTCTCTCATGAGCCATTTTCCTTTAATCTGTGCAGGATCATGTTACAGTTATCATAGAAATAGCAATGTTGCAACTTGTTTCCATGAAGAAGTAAGGCACTAAATTCTTTAATATTTAATCCTGATGGTTTATTTCAGGAAAAGACAATGCTATTTAATGTTTTGTTGAATAATCTATCGGTGTTACACTCAAGTGTAAAGTTGTTTACAATTTGATAAATGAGGCTGGACAAAGAATGTGGTAGGCTAACTTATTAAGGCCTCGCAATCAACATGGTAGGCTTATGTGGCTGGACGATCAACATGGTAGGCAAACTAGGCTGCACAATAAACATGATAGGCCAACTAGGCTTGACAATGAACATGGTAGACTAACTAGACTCAACAATAAGCATGGTAGGCTAACTAGGTTGGACAATGAACATGGTAGGCTTACTAGGCTGGACAATGAACATGGTAGGCTTACTAGGCTGGAGAATGAAAATGGTAGGCTAACTTGGCTGGACAATCTGCATGGTAGGTTAACTTGGCTGGGCAATGAACATGGTAGGCTTACTAGGCTGGACAATCTGCATGGTAGGTTAACTTGGCTGGGCAATGAACATGGTAGGCTAACTAGGTTGGACAATGAACATGGTAGGATTATGAAGCTGAACAATGAACATGGTAGACTTACTAGGCTGGACAATGACAATGGTAGGCTAACTAGGCTGGACAATCTGCATGGTAGGCTAACGTGGCTGGACAATGAACATGGTAGGCTTACTAGGCTGGACAATGAACATGGTAGGCTTACTAGGCTGGAGAATGAAAATGGTAGGCTAACTTGGCTGGACAATCTGCATGGTAGGTTAACTTGGCTGGGCAATGAACATGGTAGGCTAACTAGGCTGGACAATCTGCATGGTAGGTTAACTTGGCTGGGCAATAAGCATGGTAGGCTAACTAGGTTGGACAATGAACATGGTAGGATTATGAAGCTGAACAATGAACATGGTAGGCTTACTAGGCTGGAGAATGAAAATGGTAGGCTAACTTGGCTGGACAATCTGCATGGTAGGTTAACTTGGCTGGGCAATGAACATGGTAGGCTTACTAGGCTGGACAATCTGCATGGTAGGTTAACTTGGCTGGGCAATGAACATGGTAGGCTAACTAGGTTGGACAATGAACATGGTAGGATTATGAAGCTGAACAATGAACATGGTAGGCTTACAAGGCTGGACAATGACAATGGTAGGCTAACTAGGCTGGACAATCTGCATGGTAGGCTAACGTGGCTGGACAATGAACATGGTAGGCTTACTAGGCTGGACAATGAACATGGTAGGCTTACTAGGCTGGAGAATGAAAATGGTAGGCTAACTTGGCTGGACAATCTGCATGGTAGGTTAACTTGGCTGGGCAATGAACATGTTAGGCTAACTAGGCTGGACAATCTGCATGGTAGGTTAACTTGGCTGGGCAATAAGCATGGTAGGCTAACTAGGTTGGACAATGAACATGGTAGGATTATGAAGCTGAACAATGAACATGGTAGGCTTACTAGGCTGGACAATGACAATGGTAGGCTAACTAGGCTGGACAATCTGCATGGTAGGCTAACGTGGCTGGACAATGAACATGGTAGGCTTACTAGGCTGGACAATGAACATGGTAGGCTTACTAGGCTGGAGAATGAAAATGGTAGGCTAACTTGGCTGGACAATCTGCATGGTAGGTTAACTTGGCTGGGCAATGAACATGGTAGGCTAACTAGGCTGGACAATCTGCATGGTAGGTTAACTTGGCTGGGCAATGAACATGGTAGGCTAACTAGGTTGGACAATGAACATGGTAGGTTTATGAAGCTGAACAATGAACATGGTAGGCTGACTAGACTGGACAAGCAGCATCATGCAAGGATGATTTTCGAACTTGCTTGGTCTTTCTTTCGTTTAACTGTGAAAACCTTGAAAAGTTGATTTTGTCTTTACAACTTACTGCTGGCTAAATATAATGATGTTAGTAATTTATTGAAATTAGCTAAAGGTTTTATATATACAATACATTAAGAATGTTGCCCAAGTGATGTCACCAAACTGTCTTTCTGCAATGGGATTTATTTTTGTTTCATGGCTCCTACTGTGTCAGCTGTGCAATAGGGTAAAGTCAAGATGGGATATATTTGCACTGTTCTTGTCCAAATATCATTGTGTGGGCAAGAAGGTATGATGGAGCCAATTGCTGCAGTTTTATAGAGATACTTGCCAAGTGAAGTGCAGACCAGGTGCTAGCAATAACTCCTGGTTGGGCTCATCTAACTGACCAAATTGTCTTAGAGCATCAAGTTGCATCCAAGTGTTGTTACTTGGCTGACCTATATATGGTGTGAATCTAGACACAGTGCCAGGCCAGATGCTTGTAGGCAGCCAGCTATAACTGCATATACTATATTTATAGCTCTGAAACATCTACTATACTGACATGGAATGGAAGATGATATAAGGAATGGAAGATAAAATAATACTGGACCATGCATTGTCTTTGACTCACTTTTTAATTTTGAAGTAATTGTCATGATTAAGCTACACACCTTAAAAGCGTTCTAGTTAATGAACTTGAGATTTGAATTCAAGTTTTAATAGAGTTATTAAGCTTCACGTTTTTAGCTTCATCATTTTGTTTGAAATGCATTGCATGATTTTAGTTTTGTTAGGATTCTGCTGTCAATAGGTATGTATTGTGGAGTCGTTGTACTGTAAAAAAAAATGTTCCATAACACTTAAATACATAGAATTGCCATTTGTTGAATATTGACCTAGAAGCAATGGTGTAATAACAAATGGGTCCTAGTTTAATGTTGCTGTGTTAATAATAGAGTAAGCCTTACAGGTTGTTGGCCTGATATGTGTGTTGTTGACACCTTCTGCTATATATATGATGTGTGGCATACCTGGCCTAGGCTTACATCACATACGGCTCATAGTACTAGTCAAAGTGGTCTTCTGTGCCATGGTATGTGCTAACAATACTTCTTCTTTCTCATATTCACTTATTTTGTGTTTCTTCGGGAAGATAAAATAGATTTAAAGGTGTAAGTTTAGTTGATTCTGAATTGTATGTTGGTAGTGATACTCATAAATTAGGTCTATTATAATTTGTGCTCATAAAATATAGTAATTTTCAGAGTATTATCACTCTAGGTGAATGGTGTTTCTTCTTACTCTTGACCAGGAGGCCTCCTGTAGATGAAACAGTGTTTACATCTACTAGATAGCTGCTACAGGTAGCCAGGCCCATGTATTTCTCAACTTTTGTGTATTTCAGTGACAACAGGGATGATGAACGCCCTCCATCCAGGGAGAAGATGATTGTTCGCAAGTCCTCACGGGAACCTCAAGCCTTTGCACGTGCTCGGTACGTGTATTTTGATTGTCTGGTCTTTGCAGATAGTTACTCACTTTTCTTTCATGTCAAAATTGTCTTACTGAAACAGTTGACATACTTCACTAGATTTGACTTGATATATGATGGTTGTCTGAATGCTAGGGACCTAACTTAAATAAGCTAATAGTTCAGTTATATTATTATCTAAACATGAAAAACTGATGATGAAGGTTTCTGTCCATGTGTTTTACAGCGTGTTGTATCCTGGACCAAAGATTTCACCTATCTTTGAATCATGCGATTTGGAAATGGACAAGTAAATTACTTCTTGACTTTCAGTTCTGACAATGTGTCTATAATGACTGTTATGCCCCTATTAATCATAACAAGATTAATATCCTTGTCCTAACCCTGGTAAATTCAAAGCAAAATACCACCATGCATGATTGGTATGCCCTGATAATTGAAGTACCAGTACCATCCTGGAGCTGTGGAAGCACAGCAGCTGTCCTGTACACGGACAAATCCCTTAATCAAATCTCACTAGCATGCAAACTAATATGAAGAAACACTGAAGTTAAACTGACGCATGATGTAGATTTGCACCTACACATTTCTAACTCCACACATTCATGCTCACAGGGATAGGTTGATAAGTAGCAGGTGACTGCTTTTAAGTCATATCAGGACAGAATGTGGAAACCGGAAAGTTTCCAGTGCTTTGAATTTATTTGCGATGATGAATCTTTTTATCACAACAATATGAAAAGACGCTTGCTCCATTGTAACATATAAATTTGTCATTATCCCCCGGCACGAAGTGGAAGGGGGATAAAGGAATGGGTGCCGTCCGTCCGTCAAATTTCCTTTCCGGAGCAGATCTTGAAAACCGTACCATATTTCTTCACCAAACTTGGCACATAGATAGGTCTAGTGGTGAACTGGTGCCTTTTGATAGTTTGGGATTTCAAAAAAAATTATTTTTCGAGTTTCCATGGCAACGACTTTGATTTAGACTGAAAATGGCGGTAGTCCTCGTTTCCGGAGCAGATCTTAAAAAAACGTACCATATTTCTTCAGCAAACTTGGCACATAGATAGATCTAGTGGTGAACTGGTGCCTTTTGATAGTGTGGGATTTTTAAAAAAAATTATTTTTCGAGTTACCATGGCAATGACTTTGATTTAGACTGAAAATGGTGGTAGTCCTCGTTTCTGGAGCTGATCTTGGCACATAGATAGATCTAGTGGTGAACTGGTGCCTTTTGATAGTTTGGGATTTTAAAAGAAAATTATTTTTCGAGTTACCATGGCAACGACTTTGATTTAGACTGAAAATGGTGGTAGTCCTCGTTTCCGGAGCTGATCTTGAAAACCGTACCATATTTCTTCACCAAACTTGGCACATAGATAGATCTAGTGGTGAACTGGTGCCTTTTGATAGTTTGGGATTTTAAAAAAAAATTATTTTTCAAGTTACCATGGCAACGACTTTGATTTAGACTGAAAATGGTGGTAGTCCTCGTTTCCGGAGCTGATCTTGAAAACCGTACCATATTTCTTCACCAAACTTGGCACATAGATAGATCTATTGGTGAACTGGTGCCTTTTAAATCGCTGCACCCGTGCATTGGAAGTTTTCATTCGACGATAAGATACATAATACATTTTTTCTGTATCGATACAAGATGATACAGTTGCAAAATAAATTGCTTACTACTCATTTAGAGACTCCAAGCATTTTTGTCAGTCAAATATCATGAAATGTGTTGTACCGGTAATTAGGGTTTCAAGTTCACTACTAAAAATAGCCGTAATGAACATTTGTCTACAGCTAGCTCTACCTTTTGAACTTGCTCTGAAATATTTCAAGTCAAGAAGTTTCCATGTGATTTGATGTAAATATGTGTATCGCTATATGTATAACATCGTGACCTATGTATCGTGATACATATTGTATCGTGACCTTGCTGTGACATTTCACCCCTACTTAACATGTACAATATATATTTAGTGTTTATAAATTGCTACTTTAACCTTTTTGTTGACTTGATGGACATGTGTTGGTAAGTGAACCTCCCTTCTCCCCACATATATAAACATCATAGCCAAATCAGCACAGAAGCATGACACTTAATTTGTTCAATGCCAGAAAAATTGAAGTTTAGCATCATATTTCAGTGGAGAATGTTGAATTAATTCTGGATCTTTTGTTCTGCTTCCAATACTTTGTTTACTTTAGGATTGTTAATTTTTGCACAGATAACCATTATTTGAGTTCGCTTGGTACCTGGATGTATGTTTATATTTGGCCACCTTACTACAGATGTTTATTTCTCTCTGTGATGGCCAACACCTGCCAACAACATGCGATTAGTTGCTTGTTTAGTTTCAGACCCAAGTGAACATTTTTCTGTATCAACCACCGCTAATTAGTTGGACCACATATTGGAAGAAAATCCTATCTGGGACTAACTCTTAACTAGATGGCAAGTCCACTACTGTCAACACAAGTCAAAAGAACGCCTCTTACACCAATGTTTTCTTGTTGTCAAAGATCCACCATGACTTGCTCTTGGTGGTTATTGTTCTGATGATACATGAACACATGCAAGAGTGTAGTACTATCTGTTGCAGTCTCTGTGCAATGTGGTGTGTGTCTTATGGACTATTTAGTATACTTGTTTGAACTCTATGACATATGTATACATTATATATATGAGATGGACATTTTTCAACATACTGTATTAACGTGATAAGCGCCCTGCTCTAATAATCTAATTATATTGGCTTGTGAACAATCCTAATTAGCACCCCTTCCGATTGATCAATGTACACATGACTTATTTATTCGTGTATAATACGCACTCGTTTATTATATGCACCCTTATTATGGGCAATTAAATTCTGGAAAAATATGTCTGTCGTGTACAATACGAACAGACTTTTCTTTTGTATCATTTCAGGCTGTCAGTATAAACCACAAAATTTACGATCTTTCAACTCAGTTTGTTTGTTTTTTCACCAAAATTTTATTCTAATCTGAGCCTCCTATTTCTAATTTTGAGAGCACCCTTGGCGCTTATTACATCGAATTCAGTATGTGCTCATGGTCATATTAGATTTTTTTTTTTTTTTTCTGCCACAATATACTCATCCGCTGCATAGTATAATACACTCACACATGTACATCAACCTGATTTCACAATGGCTGAAACTCATGCTTGTGAATATGCTCAACCAATCACAGCAAGGCTTCAGTCAACCATCTAGCCTAATCCTGGAACTTCCAGATCTGTCAGAACTTTGAAATTTTCCCAAAGCCTTCTATGTTAATTCAGTCACAGACTAGTAGTTTTGAAATGGTGCATTGTCTGTCCAGGTGTCCATCATTACATTTTGGTTTCTAGATAATACCTTTGATACATATTGTACAGTCTTCAACTTTAGGCACTTAGCCAAAAGCCGGAGTCTGGTAAAATTCTTTTTGGTCTAGGAAGATCTGCTAAAAATAGTTCCTATGATTATTTGAAACGCTACTAAAAATGATACTTAGAGCCATTTTCAGGCTAGTAGACTCACAAGTTTTGGCGCACACTGTTCATAGTTTTAAAACAAATTTGCCATAAAACACAGTCATGGATCAACTAAACTTTTAGATAATAACAAGGAAAGATCACATAACAATGACTGAAAACTCTTTTCTGGATAATGATAACCTGTACAAATGAATGGTGACCATATTTGATAATCTCTTTGCTCCTTATATATGATAGGTCAGGTTCCGTAACCACCAATGTATCATATTATCGATTTATCGTTAAAAAATGTATTATAGATCACATAATGATAAAAATGATTAAAAAAATTTAAGAGCAGATATTCCTTGAATAAATTCTCTACAAGAAAAAAGTGTGTGTCAAGTCCCAATGGCAGCTATATGAGATTAAGATTATTGTGTAATAAGCCAGAAATAGCAATGTTCTGTACATACATTTTCTCGCATTTCTCCAACATGACAGTATATCTCATGTTCTTGCTATTTCATTCATAGTCAAATAACAGCAACTATGACATATTACAAGTCCAGTATGGCATTTATGATATATGTATTAAATTCTATGACAACTAGGGTCTGTTTCAAGGCATCAATATCTGTAATATAATCTTGGATGCTCTTGACAATGGTGAGTTGGTACGATCTGCTGATTGGTTTACACATGATTTAACCGAAATTAATGACAACACTATTGAATGCAAGTAATACAAGAGATTACAAACTTAAGTCCACATATACAATGAACACTTTTTATAACCAGATAGTGTATTAACATGATTAACTTGCTTACTTTGGTACAGATTTGTTTACATGATATTTTCGGGGTTATGTGCTCACGGTAACATCCTTGCATTGGGGTAAAATCCATGAAAACTCCTTGTGTGCATGTATTATGCCCACCCACCTCCAGTATTTATTGGAAAAAAGTGTGCACTATACTCTAGAAAACACAGCATGATATTCAGGATTATTTGATAACCCACAAAATAAGTCTATTCTGAGCATGTCAGGCATCATATGACATTGAGTAGAATTGATGTAGGATTCCAAATGAAACCACCTACAAATATTGCTGAACTTAGGCCAATTCAACTTCTAAGTATGTCATAAATAAATTCACGACAGACCTTATAGAATTGATTCAAAAGCAAGCCAAATTAGCCTGTGCCGTAGGACTGGTTTCTGAAAGATACCTATGGATTCATTTTAGAATTGACTTTCATTTGTGTAAGTTCGGTGGAGTATGAACCTTCATAGAATGCAGAGCTTGTTATTACGACACCATCACACTTTCATAATATTGTCTTCAAAATACACTAAATTCATACAAATTCCAGCAGTTTTAGGGACACTTTCTGCCAGATATCCTATATATGCCGATACAAACTTCAGCAAATATTTTTGAGATTAAAGATGTTATCTTGAAAATATATAATCAAACATTAATTTGTTGCCTGGAGCACACTTTCAGG